CTGAGTAGCTGGGATTACAGGCACGCGCCACCATGCCCAGCTAATTTTTTGTATTGTTTAGTAGAGACGGGGTTTCACCATGTTAACCAGGATGGTCTCGATCTCTTGACCCCGTGATCCACCCGCCTCGGCCTCCCAAAGTGCTGGGATTACAGGCTTGAGCCACCGCACCCGGCCCAGCGCTGAACTTTTCAAAGCACAAAGACAGCACAAGAAAGTGTGAGTTTAGGGCATTGGCTCTTCTCTTTGTTAAGGTGAGAGGGAAATAAGCAAGGCAAATATGTTGTCACTGAGTGTCACAAATGAGACTGTCCTACCAAGGGCCAGAAGGAAGCCTCTTACGAGTCCTCAGGGTTTGTTAATTTTAGGGAGCCTCTGGGCACCCTGGGGTCCCAGTGCTGAACAATGCTTCGGGGATTGTTTAAAAGGCACTGTGCACTTGGTTTTACTGGAATTGTGGAAAAAGTTTTATGAGGTCAGGTCTAATTATTTAAAAGCTGGATGGGATCTTAAGAAATCATATATCTCAGTGTTTCCCAGAACTGTATCAGCCTTAACACATTTTTTTTGAGAGAGGGTGTCACTCTGTCGCCCCGGCTGGAGTCCAGTAGTGGGATCACGGCTCACTGTACCCTGAACTCCTGGGCTTAAGCAGTACTTCTGCCTTAGCCTCTCCAGTGGCTGGAACTATAGGTGTGCACCACAATGCCAGGCTTAATTTTTTTAAAGTTTGTCATACAGATGGGGTCTTGCTACAATGCCCAGGCTAGTCTCAAACTCCTGGGCTCAAGGGATCCACCTGCCTTGGCCTCGCAAAGTGTTGGGATTACGGTTGTGAGCCACCACACCCGGCCAACACTTTTTTTTAAGTAACGAATATTTTGTAATGCTTCTTTTATTATTCTGAAATGAAATTCGTAGAAAATATAACCCACCTACAAACCAGCTGCAAAAAGAAAAACAAATTGCTGTAATGCCCTGACTGTAACATAAAGCAAAAGCACGAAGGAAAGTCAATTGTAATAAAATGATATGGATTTGACAAGGAATGTTCAGGTCCGGTCGTATCAGGTGACATGATGAAGTGGCCTGATGCTTGCAGCAAGACAGTCACATAAATGTGATGGCCACAAGTGCAGGTGGACACAGGTGTGTCACGTGGAGGCTCAGAGACCGTGCAGGTGCTGCTGCCAGTGATGGGATTTTCCCACATGCTGGACAGCTCCGGGGGGAAGTCCCCCTTATCACACAGTGGTTGCATCCCCAGAATATCCAACGTAGATGACAATGATGCAAAAACAGACACACCCAGAGTTCAGTTCTAGACCCATGTTTTACAAGAGGATTTGTCATTCACCAAAGCCTGGTGGGACATGGAAAACCAGAGGGATTGGGGGACTTCTTTATTTGGGGAACTGTCCCACTTGTACCCCTGAAAACTTCCAGAAGGCCCCTGGGGGCAGCGCAGCTTCTGTCCAGGACCACCGATCTCTGCCGTTGGTTACTTTTTAAGGTCAGCAAAACGAGGCCTAACGCATGCCACAGAGCCGAGTGTCCTGGAGGGATGTGATGGACGAGCCTGGGACGCCCTCAGCACAGGGCTCTTCCCTCCCAGCACCAGTCCCTCCTTCCTGCTGTGGGAGGGCGGGGAGACATGGAAGCTTCCAACCTAAGTTGCCTTCCGAGCTGCCATGCCTGTGAACTAGCCTCCTGGAGGGGGGAAATCCCAGGCAACCTGGACGTTGGTTTACTACAGTGAAGAGTTTAGAGCAGCACTTCGGAATCAGACTGGCCTGGGTCCAAGTCCTGGCTCTCCCATAAACTGGCTGTGGGTTCTTGGGGAAGTTCCTTAATGTCTCCCCGAGCCTCAGTTTTCATCACTGTAAAATGGGGTTAACAGTATTCCCCAATTACAGGGGAGTTGAGAGTACTTAGCGCAAAAGATGCATTGACTTTTTCTCTTGTAGCGTGGGAAGCACCAGGCAGTGAATTTGAGAAAGTGACAAAAGAGCCTTAGCCTGGGAGGCTGGAGCAAAGAAATCCCTTTTCGAGGAATCCTCCGCCACTTGGTTTGTTTTACAATTCAGGGGAACTAGGCGCACTGACATGTTGTGCGCACCTCCATCTAGTTCTAGAACATTTCTGTCACCCCACGAAGATCACCCGTATCTGTTGGCAGTCCCTCCCCATTCTCTCCTCCCTCCGGCCCCTGACAACCGCCCATCCATTTTCTGTCCCTGTAGACTGGCCACGCTGGACCTCTCGTGTAAATGGAATGAATCATGTAATATGTGGTCCCTTGTGTCCGACTTCTGTCACTCAGCGTCGTGTTCAAGGTTCTTCCACGTTGTCGGGTGTGTCAGAGCCCCGTTCCTTTCAATGGCCAATAGCGTCAGTTGTACGGATGAGGAGTTCTTTGCTCCTCAGTGGTGGGCATTTGTTTTTTTCCCACTTTTCGGCAACGGTGAGTCCTGCTCCACTTTGAATGTCCTGGCCCCTGGCCTGTCATTGGTGTGGAATGAGAGCGAGCTGGGGCTGTTCTGAATCTGGGCCTTTGTTCTGGGTAAAAGGACACAGTCTTTGGAAGGAGACAGACCTGGGTTTGGATTCCGATTCCATATAAGTCACCGGTGCCTTAACCTCTCCGAATCCCAGCTTCTTCGTCAGACAAAGGGGTGGTTATGAGGCACGGAGATGACACCTGTGTGTGCTCAGCACATAGTAGGGATCCAACAAACAGTCTCTCATTTGTGTTCAGAAGCTCCTTTAATGCCTTGGTTATTACACTGCAGCCTGGGCAGGGTGTCCCTTCCCCCAGCTCCAAGGTACGGCTTCCTATGGGTCCTAGTCAGGGATGCACCTGAGCCAGCTGGTAGGGCTCACAACAACAAGAGCCAGTGATGAGTGTGTCTTCCCTACTCCACATTCAGAGACTTTGCATTGCCACCTTGGAATCAACCCACTGGGAGTGTTCACAGCCTGGAAATCAGCAAACCTTCAAAGCAGGGTTTATGCCAACCCCTGACCCCTGGAGAGCCAGTTGTTAAACATTTACCAACACCACAGGTTCTAGTATTTTCTGTTAAGCTGGCCTGGTGGCAACAGGCCAGAGAGATCGGGAGAGGGTGAGGCAGGGCAGTTCAAGGGTTAAGCCCAAGGGTGCTGGAGCAGATATGTGATCTTGGTCCTGGCCTGCAGGCCTGCCACCACTACAGAATCTGTGAGCTCCACATCCTCACTGTTCCCCATCTCCCTTGGAGCTCAGCTGTGCCAGCAGTCCCTGGAGGGACGTCTGCTGGGTGGGATGTAGGGAGTGGGGACTTCTGGGGAAAGCATTGCTCCCCAGTAAAAGTGATGCAAAGGAGGAGCCGCCTCCTTTTCTTGGATGTTTTCATATGCACACGGTGACTCCTGGAGCTGCAGCAGCCACCATGTGACCATGTGGAGAGAGGCCTAAGAAGCAGGCCAGTGTGCAGAGAGTGTGAGGGCAGAAGGAAAGAGCTTGGGTTCCCAGTGGCGCTGAGCCAACCCTGGAGCTGCCACCCCTGGACTGCTTACATGAACCAGCAAAAGTACCTTGTTCTTTAAGCCATTTTAATCCAATGCTCTGCTAGTTGTAAACCAAATAACCCTGATCCAGATGCCAACACATGAAGAGAAGAGCAGGAAGAGACTATGATTCCAAGGAGAATTAAAAAAAAAAAAAGAATTCCAAAGGGTAAATTCAGAGAGATGACCTACAGATTAGAAGCAAGGAATATGCCCTGGGTAAGGCCAGGCAAGGATTTTTCCAATTCAGGAAGTGGAAAAATTCTGTTTTTATTTTTATTCTTTTTTAATTTTTAATTTATTTGGAAAAATTCTTAGAAAAAGTATAATCCACCAAAACTGACTCAAAAAGAAAAAGAAAGTCTGAATAGTCCTATAACCTTGAATAAAATGGACTAGTAGTTTAAAATCTTCCCATAAAGAGCTGGGCATGGTGGCTCAGGTGTGTATTTCCAGCACTTTGGGAGGCCAAGGTGAGTGGATCACCTGAGGTCAAGAGTTCGAGACCAGCCTGGTCAACATGGTGAAACCCCGTCTCTACTAAAAATACAAAAAATTAGCTGGGTGTGGTGGTGCATGCCTGTAATCCCAGCTACTCGGGAGGCTGAGACAGGAGAATTGCCTGAACCCAGCAGGCGGAGGTTGCAGTGAGCCGAGATGGCGCCATTGCACCATCCAGCCTGGGTAACAAGAGCGAAACTCCGTCTCAAAAAAAATACAAAGAATTAGCCAGGCGTGGTGGTACGTGCCTGTAATCCCAGCTATTGGGGAGGCTGAGGCAAGATAACTGCTTGAACTTGAGGGGCAGAGATTTCAGTGAGCTGAGATGGCACCACTGCACTCCAGCCTGGGCGACAGAGTGAGTCTGTCTCAAAATCATCCTCATCATCCTCCTCCTCCTCCTCCTCATCATCTTCCCACAAAGAAAACACCAGGCTCAGTGAGTTTTACAGATGAGTTCTACCAAACATTTAAAATGTCAGACAGTCTTACACAAACTCTTCCAAGTAATAGAACAAGAGAATATTTCCCAACTCATTCTATGAGGCCAGTATAACCTTAATATGAAAACCTGACAAGAATGTGTGAGAAAGGAAAATTATAGGTGAAAGTCATCACAGAAAATAGACACAAAAATCGAGACAAAATACTAGCAAAGCTAGCCACTGACACTTAAAAAAGCAATATGTGATGACAAGCACACATTTATCCCAGTAATGTAAAGGCGAGTTCACATCAGAGAATCTAGAAATGCCATTCATCACAGTGACGGGCTAAGGGAGAAAAACCTGCGCTTGTTCATACAGATGCAGACAGAGCAATGGCTGATGTTTAAATCCTTTCGTCAAAAAAACAATTGGCAAATTAAGACAAACGTTTCTTCATATGATAACACATACCCGCCAAATGTTACAGTAAACGTCATTCTTAAGGGAGCACATGAGAAAACGTTTCTTCTCTTCGACATTATATTTCTGGTGCCAGCGTAGAACAAGGAAAATGAATAGAGGTATCGGGGCTAGAAAGGAAGGAACAAAACTATCATCTTTCTCACATGACATGTCTACACTAAAAACTTACGTCTGCAGAAAAAAACACTAGAAATGATAACAGAGTTTAGCAAGGTAATTTCCGTGATTAAACGGTCAGATCTCAGAGGCAAGGGGACAGAGCCGTAGGCGTATGACTCGCACAGAAGCACACGGTGCTCTTAGCAAGCGCAGAGCCCATCCCGGGGCCACTTGTCCCCAGGGTGACTTCTTGGCTGGTGAGCGGGGGCAAGGCTGAGCCTGGACATCAGTCTGCAGTTCCACCTGGTTGGAGGGGAGGCATGGCAGGGTGGGGCGCCAGGTGTGGGCCTTCCACCCCTTCCAGGTGTGGGCCCCGTGGGTCTTTCGCTTCCCTCTCCACTGGACCCGGTAATCAAGCTAGCATGCAACCCAGTGGCTGGGTTAGTTTCCTTTGTGGCTGCAGGGAACAGGCATGGCCACATCTGATGGCCTTCCTTGAAGGTAGCACATCAGCTGATTCTGAGCCTTTCTCACTCGGCCTCTGTCTGTCTCTTGCTCCTTCTTGCCTCTCACCTCCCCAGGAGCAAGGGTCTGGTTGCACAGAGCTTCTGCTCATGCCCCACGTACACCCTCCTGCTCTAGTTGTCTATTGCTGCCTAAAAAACTACCCCGGACCTAGCGGCTAAAAAGCATCGATCAGACAGACGCGGCGGCTCATGCCTGTAATCCTAGCACTCTGGGAGGCCGAGGTGGGTGGATTGCTGGAGGCCAGGAGTTCGAGACCAGCCTGGCCAACGTGGCGAAACCCCATCTCTACTAAAAATATTTTTAAAAATTAGCCAGGCGTGGTGGTACATGCCTATAATCCCAGTTACCCGGGAGGCTGAAGCATGAGAATTGCTTGAACCTGGGAGCTGAAGGTTGCGGAGAGTGGAGATCGTGCCACTGCACTGCAGCATGGGCAACAGACAGAATGAGACTCTGTCTCAAAAAAATAAAAGAGAAAAAAGAGCAATCAGGTATTGTGGTCACAAATCTCTAATTTGGCTCGGCATGGTGGCTCATGCTTCTAACCCTAGCATGTTGGGAGGTCAGAGTGAGAGAATTGCTTCAACCCAAGAGCTTGAGACCAGTCTGGGCAACATGGTGAGACCCTGTCTCTGTCTCTACAAAAATTTTTAAAAAATATTAGCAGGTGTTGTGGTGAGTGCTTGCAGTCCCTGCTACTCGCAGGCTGAGGTGGGACAACCGCTGGAGTCCAGGAGGTCCAGGCCTCAGTAAGCAATGATTCACCACTGCACTTCAGCCTGGGTGACAGAGTGAGACCCTGTCTAAAAAAATAAATAAACAAATCTGTAATTCGAGCAGGGTTTGGCAGGGACAGCTCATCCTTGCTCTCTGTGGGGTCAGCGGGAGCAGCTTAAAGCCTGAGGGTGGTGACCCAATGTCTGGGAGCTGGAATCGCCAAAGGCTCTCTCACCTACAGGCCCAGTGCCTCACCTGGGGCGCTGGCTGAAACACCTACCATGGCTTCTCCACAGGGCTTGGCTCCAAGAGTGAGCGTTCCAAGAGAACCAGGTGGAAGTCGACTTACCTGTTACCACCCAGCCTTACACGTCACCCTGACCGTTATCCCAAGCCCACCAGGATTCAAGGCTCAGAAACCTAGACCCCAGTTTTTGATGGGAGAAGAGGCAAAAATCTCATGGTATGAAGAGTGTGTAGGAAGAGAAAGATCATTGCAGCCACGTTGGGAAACACGGCCCGTCACTCCTCCCCACCACTCCCAGCCTTCCCCTCATTTGATGACCAACCCCATTCTCTTTCCAGCAGAGGATACCCATGACCCGGGCTGGGCCAGACACCACGCACCGTCTCTCCAGCCACAGTGGTTGGTCCAGGGCTGGGCAAGTGACCAAAGCCTTTCATTTGGAGTTTGTACCTAGCTGAAGCCGGCAAGCCAAGCCTCTTCTTGCCCCAGAGCCAAGATGGCAGGGGTGAGGCCACATCAACTGTACATGTGACTTCGTGACCTGCAGCATCAGCCCTGGACCGCTTATCTTCTGTCTTCTTATGTGAAAAATTCCGCCCTTGGCTGGGGAAGCCACTGGAGGAAGGTTCCAGTGACTCACAGCTGAACACAACCCTAATTTACACTTGGAACAAATGGCTACATTCACAGGCACCCTAAGTTCATCACTGAAACACTTGGAACAAATGGCTACATTCACAGGCACCCTAAGTTCATCACTGAAGTCAACACAAAGCTCAGTGATGATCACGATTTGTGATTCTTCACAAGACGCTGTTGACAAAGAGACCACATCTCTCTTGTTTATCTTTCCATCCCAAGCACCAGACATCAAAGACTTAATACATTGGTCTTGAATGAATGAGTGAATGCAGCGGGCTAGCAAACGCCACAGCGATGGTGACTCTGGCATCAGATGGAACAGGGTCCCAATCCCACTCCCTGTGCTTGCCTGCTGAGTGACCTTGGGCAGCCCCATTAACCTCTCTTGGCCCCAGTTTCCTCATCTGTAAAACGATAATACAACTGACCATGTGCAAGGGTGGTTGTGAGGGTAACTGAGGTTGAACCGATGTTCACTGCTTTTGATGTTATTGAAATTGGTAGAGGTGATGAGAGCAAAAAAAGCCAGAATATGGGGTCCGGGCGCGGTGGCTCAGGCCTGTAATCCCAGCACTTTGGGATCACGAGGTCAAGAGATCGAGACCACCCTGGTCAACATGGTGAAACCCCGTCTCTACTAAAAATACAAAAAATTAGCTGGGCGCAGTGGCTCAGGCCTGTAATCCCAGCTACTCAGGAGGCTGAGGCAGGAGAATTGCCTGAACCCGGGAGGCGGAGGTTGTGGTGAGCCGAGATCGTGCCATTGCACTCCAGCCTGGGTAACAAGAGTGAAACTCCATCTCAAAAAAAAAAAAAAAGCTAGAATATGATCTCTCAAGTGTTCACCCCACCTCCATTCCTGAAGCAATGGGATCAGGCTCTACCGTGTACTTAGCCTTAGATAGGACAGTTTGGGTTGGGCTCTGTGGGTGGCTCTTCTGTTTGTCTCACTTGGGATCACCTGTGTGGCTACAGTCACCTGGCGGCTAATGGGGCTGCGTGGTCTAAGAAGCTTCTCTCACAGGCCTGGTGGTCATTTTGGTGGCTGGCTCTGCTCTTACAGCGGTTCCCTGCTCCACACAGCGTCATCCTCCAGTAGACAGCCTGGGCATCTTCACAGCATTTCGTCAAGAGTAGAGTGGCAACAGCAAGGTCTCTTGAGACTGAGGTTTTGAAGTCACACAATATCGCTTCTGCCACATTCTATATATTTGTCAAAAGCTTAGAAAGGAAAATATATTTCTTCTACATGCAACACTTTGCTTCTGACAGCAAATGGCAGGGTATTGATTACCCACACCAGCAAATCTTCCAACTTTTTGACATAGCTGGGTGTCTCACAGTTCAATCTAATTCCAACACTACCTAGAATTAGCACCAGATCTCACAACTGAGCGACTCAGTCCCATGGTACAGCCTCCACTTCAGATGCCAGTTGCGAGTCTCGGCCTCCCTTCAGGTTGACCAGCTATGGCTTACAGCTGATTTAGGAGTCCTCATGACCCCCTCCTCAGGCTCGATAATTGGCAAAAGCTGGGCGCAAAAGCTGGCTCATGCCTGTAATCCTGGGACTCTGAGAGGCTGAAACAGGCAGATCACATGAGGTCAGCTATTTCAGACCAGCCTGGCCAAGGTGGTGAAACCCTGTCTTTACTAAAAGTACAAAAATTAGCCAGACATGGTGGTGCGCGCCTGTAATCCCAGCTACTCAGGAGGCTGAGGCAGGAGAATCACTTGAACCTGGGAGGCAGAGGCTGCAGTGAGCCAAGATCCAGCCAATGCACTCCAGCCTGGGTGACCCAGCAAGACTCCGCCTCAAAAAAAAATTGGCAACTGACGTACAGAACTCAGGGAAATACTTTGCTTATGTTCACTGGTTGATTATAAAGAATGTGACTCAGGAACAGCCAAGTCATGGACAGGGTGGAGTGGACAGAGTGGGATGGACGGGTTAGTAGGAGAGGCACGGTGGGGGTGCGCGGTACAGAGCTCCTATGCCCTCTCCAGGTGCACTGCCCTCCCTGCACCTTGATGTGCTCAATAACTCAACGCAGAAACTCTTTGAAACGCCTTTCTAGTCATTTAGGGGTTCTACGGAGGTCACATTACACAGGCATGATTGATTACATCATGAGGCCTTGGGATTAAGTCGATCTCCAGCCCCTCTCTTCTCCCTGGAGGTTGGGGTTGGGGAACACGGTGACTGAAGTTCCAGCCCTCCTCTGGCAACCAGCCCCCACCCTCCAAGAGTCATCTCATTAGCATAAACTCAGATACGGTTACTAATAATGGTTTGGATACTTGTCCCCTCCAAATCTCATGTTGAACTTTGACCCCCAATGTTGGGAGTGGAGCCTGGCGGGGGGTGTTTGGGTCGTGGGGCAGATCCCTCACGAATGTCTTGGTGCCATCCATGCAGTAATGAGAGTTCTCCAGTTCTCTCGCTCTAGTAGTTCCTCAGGGACCTGATTGTTTAGAAAGCCTGGTGTCTTTCTCCGCGTGCCTCTCTCCTCTCCACATGACCCTTGCTCCTTTTAACCTTCTGCCCTGCCTGGAAGCTTCCTGAGCTCCTCACGGATGCAGATGCTGGCGCCATGCTTCCCATGCAGCTGGCAGAACTGTGAGCCTAATACGCCTCTTTTCTATATAAACGACCAGCCTCAAGCCTTCCTTTACGGCGACAAAATGGGCTAAGAGAGTTGTTATTGTCAATAACAAAAATGCTTTTCCCACTCTTACCGCTCGGGAAATTCTGAGGGTTTTAGGAGCTCTGTGTCCAAAACCAGGATGGAGACGATGTAAATGTTTCTTATTATATCACAATGTCACAAAACCCTTTGCAGATTTGTTAAGTCACATTGCAAAGTAGAGCCTGTATACAAGGCACCTTATTTCAGCTCCAAACCGAGGATCAGTTTCCCCATGAGCATATCATCCCCCCGGGCATTCACCCCCCAAATCTGCATTTTCCCCATCACTGTTGCAACAAATGACCACACAAACTGTGGCTTACAAAGCACACATTTAGTATTTTAAAGTGCAGGAGGACTGAACTCTAAAATGGGTCTGCCCCTTCTGGAGGCTCCCGGGAAGCATCTGCCCCCTTGCCTTCTGCGGCTCCTGGACACCGCCCGCATTCCTTGGCTCATGGCCCCTCCTGTCTCCCAAGCCAGCAGAGTGGCATCTTCTCCCCTTTCTGACTTCTTCCTCCCTGTCCCCGGGATCCCTGTGATGGCCCTGTGCCCACAGTATAATCCAGGATAACCGCCCCCACCTCAAGATTTTTAATTTAATCATATCTGCAAAGTTTCTCCTGCCAAGTAAGGTAAATTGCTTGGTAAGGTAGACGTCCACAGGTTCTGGGGGTTAAGACATGGACATCTTTGGGGGTCACCGTTCTGTCTGCCTGCAACCTCCGCCTCCCGGGTTCAGGCAATTCTCCTGCCTCAGTCTCCTGAGTAGCTGGGATTACAGGCACGCACCACCATGCCCAGCTAATTTTTTGTATTTTTAGTAGAGACGGGGTTTCACCATGTTGACCAGGATGGTCTCGATCTCTTGCCCTCGTGATCCACCCGCCTCGGCCTCCCAAAGTGCTGGGATTAGGGGTGTGAGCCACCGCGCCTGGCCCCTCTGGGGACTGTTTTAAGGGAGTGTGCCCCAAATACATCATTAAAAGCCTGGACCCGCAGCCAAATGACCTCGATTCAAATCCCAGCTCTCCCGCGTCCTCATCGTTCGACCTCAGCCAATGTGCTTCACCTCTCCGCACCTCCATTTCCTCTTCTGCACGATTGGGATGTGTCAGATCCTGCTGCCATAACACACGTGCCGTAGACCGCGTGGTTTAGACCTCACAGTCCTGGAGGCAAAGTCTGAGGGCAGGGAGCCAGCAGGGCCAGGTTCTGATGGAGGCTTTCTTCCGGCTCGTAGGTGGCCACCTTCTCCTAGGTCCTCACGTGGCCGGGCGTAGAGGAAGAGGGGGTGTGGGGAGAATGCGCTCTGGTGTCTCTCTGATGAGAATGTTAGATTTGGACAAAGTGTACGAAGAAATCAAGGAAAGAATGAAGCAACAAAAGCAGAGATTTACTGAATATGAACGTACACTCTGCGGTGTGGGAGCAGCCCCGAGCACAGGGGCTCAAGGGCCCCAGACACGAAATCTCATCCAGTCCAAATACCCGCCAGAGGTTTCCCGTTGGCCACTTGGCGTTCAGCCCTGTGAATGAAGTGGTGGCCTGTGATCAGTCCAATTGGTCAAGCGAAGTGACAAAGGTCACACTCCTATGCAAACATCTGATTGGTTGTGGAAAGCAACAATCAGAGGCTGAGGTGGAGTTAGTCTGTTGCCACAATCAGTCTGATAGGTCGCAGACAGCAGCCAATCAGAGGCTGAGGGGAAGTTATTCTGTTGCCACAATCAGTCTGATAGGTCGCAGACAGCAGCCAATCAGAGGCTGAGGTGAAGTTATTCTGTTGCCACAATCAGTCTGATAGGTCGCAGACAGCAGCCAATCAGAGGCTGAGGTGAAGTTATTCTGTTGTCACAATCAGCCTGATAGGTTGCAGACAGCAGCCAATCAGAGGCTGAGGTGAGGTTATTCTGTTGCCACAATCAGTCTGATTGAGAGGTTGCAGACAGCAGCCAATCAGAGGCTGAGGTGAAGTTATTCTGTTGCCACAATCAGTCTGATAGGTTGCAGACAGCAGCCAATCAGAGGCTGAGGTGAAGTTATTCTGTTGCCACAATCAGTGTGATAGGTCGCAGACAGCAGCCAATCAGAGGCTGAGGTGAAGTTATTCTGTTGCCACAATCAGTCTAATAGGTAGCAGACAGCAGCCAATCAGAGGCTGAGGTGAGGTTATTCTGTTGCCACAATCAGTCTGATAGGTTGCAGACAGCAGCCAATCAGAGGCTGAGGTGAGGTTATTCTGTTGCCACAATCAGTCTGATAGGTTGCAAAAAGCAGCCAGTCAGAGGTACTTTCAATTTCCCATTCGCCCGCAGAAGACGTGGGGGTTTGCAAAGGGGTAGCCGCTGGTCCTCCTGTCACTTAGGCGAGGAAAGGTAAGGCCCTCCTTTCAGTTTAGTTCTGGGAAGTCAGCATGAAGCGGCCTTAGGTTCGGGGCCTTCAGACCCTATTCTTCTGCCTCGAGGATGCCGATACGTGTCGGCTCTGTGTCCTCACCCAAATCTCGTCCCCAGGTGTGGAGGGAGGCTCCTGGTGGGAGGTGACCGGACCACGGGGCGGTTCCCCGAAGCGGCTCTCCTGATAGTGAGCAAGTTCTCGCTGGACTTGGTGGTTTTTTTTTTTTTTTTTTTTGAGACGGAGTTTCGCTCTTGCTACCCAGGCTGGAGTGCAATGGCGCGATCTCGGCTCACCGCAGCCTCCGCCTCCTGGGTTCAGGCAATTCTCCTGCCTCAGCCTCCTGAGTAGCTGGGATTACAGGCACGCGCCTCCATGCCCGGCTAATTTTTAATATTTTTTTAGTAGAGACGGGGTTTCACCATGTTGACCAGGATGGTCTCGATCTCTTGACCTCGTGATCCCCCCGCCTCGGCCTCCCAAAGTGCTGGGATCACAAACCCGGCGGTTTGAGAAGGCAGTTTCCCTGCTCTCTGTTGCTCTTCTTGCTCCTGCCGCCGTGTAGAGAATTCTTTGCTTCCTCCCTGACGGTAAGTTTCCTGAGGCCTCCGCAGCCAGGTGGAGCTGTGAGTCAGTTAACCCTCTTTCCTGTAGAAAGGACCCAGTGTCGGGTGTTGTTTTGTGGCAGTGTGAACGCGCTCATACGGATTCTAACCCCTGCCTTACCGGGGTCCTGCCCTCATGGCCTCGGCGAACTTTAATCGCTTTCTGATTGCAAACACCGTTGTCCTGGGGGTGAGGGCTTCGACCTATGAGTTTTAGGGGCACACGATTCATAGCACAGGGCCATGATACCTTCCAGAGTCCTGAGGAGGAAATGAGCGAATACGGCTCAGAACGGGCTGCGGCACCGGGCAGTGCGGGGCGGGTCGTCATCATCGTCGTCTTCGTTTACAAAACTTACCTCTGGGCTCTGCAGCCGAGGTTTCACACGCACCCTAAAACACGAGAGAGAGGGTGTAAGAGGAGGCGGCAAGTCCAAGTTGGAGGGATAATAGTTTCTTCCAGGCCTCAGGGGGTTGCCCTGCATGCCTTTTGGGGTTTGGGGTCCCCCCATTCCAGCCTGGGGTTCTCTGACATTAGCATGCATCCCAGTCACGTATGTTACTCTTAAAATGCGGCTTCCTGAGTCTCGTCCCAGACTAACTGGATCGGCCCTTGGGGTGGAGCCCAGTGGCTGCATGCTGGCTCACACCTGTGATCCCAGCACTTTGGGAGGCAGAGGCGGTGGATCACTTGAGGTCAGAGGTTCGAGACTAGCCTGGCCAACATGTTGAAACCCTGTCTCTACTAAAAATACAAACAAACAACAAAAATTGGACATGGTGGCTTGTACCTGTAATCCCAGCTACTCCGAAGGCTGAGACAGAATTGCCTGAACCTGGAGGCGGAGGCCTGAAGGCAGAGGCTGCAGTGGGCTGAGCTCAAGCCAGTGCATTCCAGGCTGGGCAACAGAGTGAGACCCATCTTTACAAAAAATTAAAAAATTAGTCAGGGGCAATGGTATGTGCCCGTGGTTCCAGCTACTCAGGAGGCTGCAGCAGGAGGGTCCCTTGAGCCAGAAGTTGGAGACACCAGTAAGCCACAATTACACTTCGGCACTGCAGCCTGGGGGACAGAGCAAGACCCCGTTTCTAAATAGATACGTATTTCTGATGTCAGAGAAACTGTTTTCATCAACTGTGGGAAAAACCCTAAGACTCACTCATAACCACTGACCACGAACACTCCCAAGTCAAAGTTGTTTCTACCTCCCTGAATCCAAAACTCCCGCTGACGAGCACTGAGCCTTGATGTGAACATGGCCACATCCAAATGTCCAGGCAGCCCTACAACTCCTCACAGTCAGGTTCCTGCAGTTTCCTCAAGATGAAGAAGCATTTTGCAGGATGAGATCTGAGCATCACGCTCTGCCCAGTGATTCCGTTTGGAGGGGAAATGCTTTCCCATTTGCCAGGCAGAAGAGGTGGGGGTTTGCAAAGGGGGAGCCTCTAGCCTCTGGTCCTTCTGCTACTTAGGCATGAAAAGTTAGGGCTCTCCTTTCAGTTTGGTTCTGGGAAGTCAGCGTGAAGCAGCCTTAGATTCCCTCCTTCAGACCCTGTTCTTCTGCCTCAAGGATGCTGATGATATGGTTTAAATCTGCCCCACTCTTGCTTTCTAACGACACTTGACATCGGATGTTCACCACTGATGTAAGTTCTCCTCCGCCACTGTTAACACAGCCATGTCCAGCTACTGAGGCAGAGGCAGCAATCCTCCAGGCCGGAGCGTGTGCAGGAGACCTCCATTCATTTCGTAAATGTGAACGACGCAGTTGCCAGTTCCTTTTGACTCATTTTTTCCTTCCTTTCCACCGCTTGCCAGTTGGGGTGGACTCCAGCGTGGCTGAGGGCAGATGCCGCCGCCCCTGAGAGCTGCTTCTGGTTCACGTGGCTTCTGAGGGAACCACAACTCCAGCCCTCCTCTCTGTGGGGGACACACATTCACCGCTTGCCCTCTGTCCCCAGAAGACATTTTCTAACAGCCCAAGGGCCGATCTGGAATCAGAGAAAAACACTCCCTGCGGGAGTCTGGGGGAGTATATGGTTTGTGTTTTATTAGCCCTTGCTGGGTCTCCAGATCTGAACCCCAGCGGGGCCTGTGTCCTCAGATCTTCCCGAAGCGCACCCCTGAAAGCCAGCTTGGGCAGCCGGAGGATTAGAGTGAATGAAAATCATTAGCTGAGCTGTTTGTTTGGCACACGCGTGTGGGCAAGAGCCAGAGGCCATTTTCAAGGGAAAACGCCCGTTGCAGATTCCTAAAGCCTTTCTCATTTGAGACTTGATCCTGGCAACGACTTGATGAGATTGGTTTATCAGCGGGTCCATTTGACGGGCAGGAAAGTGGTGTCGAAGGGAGGCCGGGTGACTTGCCCACAGCCACACAGCTGAGAAACGGAGAGCCAGACCCGGGTGAGGACCTGCTGCCTCCGCAGGGCAGGGTACACCTCCCCCTCTCTCTTCCTCCTGCCCCCTTTCCTCTTCCTTTCTTTTTCTCCAAACTTCCATTCATGTATTTTAAAAACTTTTTTTGGAGATGGGGTCTTGCTATGTTGCCCAGGCTACACCCAAGCTCCTGGGCTCAAGCACTCCTCCCACCCTGGCGTCCGGAGTAGTCAGGATGACAGATGCTCAACCACACCTTGCTCAACAATTTTTAATTGAAAAATTAACATATGCAAATGATAAACAGTACAGGAAAGGACGCCAGACCCCCATTTTCTAGCTATTGTGTGCATATGTGCTTGTGAACACATGTGTTTGCACGCTTAGCTGTGCATGTGATACAGTACACGGCCTCCTACACAGACAGGCAACCCATGCACTGGGTGCCTCTGGTTCTTATTTCTCTCTCTCTCTCTTTTTTGCAATGGAGTCTCGTTCTGCCTCCCAGGCTGGAGTGCAGTGGCGTGATCTCAGCTCACCGCAAACCTCTGCCCCCGGGTTCCAGCCATTTTCATGTTTCAGCCACTCAAGTATCTGGGGTCGCAGGTGTCTATCACCACACCCGGCTAATTTTTGTATTTTTAGTAGAGACAGGGTTTTGTCATGTTGGCTGGGCTGGTCTCAAACTGCTGACCTCAGGTGATCTGCCCACCTCGGCCTCCTAAAGTGCTGGGATTGCAGGTGTGAGCCGCTATGTCTGGCCTTTCTTACTTCTCTTGAAAGCTGTCCTGTGTCCACCTGGATGGAGCCGCCACTCCTTTTGCTGACTGCACATGAGCTCTTGGTGCATGGGGACCAGGCTGTCCTTGTCCACGCCTCCCCCGCGACAGACATGAGGCTGCTCTCAGTCTCTGCTGTAATCAGCGTGCAGTGTGGGTCACGCCTTTAGCACATACATGCCTTCGTGCCCCTATGCCAGTGCATCAGTCAGCAAGAATCCTCGGAGGAGAACTGCTGTGCGGGAGGATTTACCCCTCTCGGTGCCGGGGCTGGGGTTAAACTGCTTCCCCATAGGCTGCACCTGCTCACATGCCTGCCCTCCGAGTGGCAGACCAAGCCCCTCACCCCTAATGCCAGGCAACGCAGAGCCATCCCAGGGAGCTCTCTCTAATCAAAGACACGAAGGTGTTTGATCTGCCTGATTTTCAAATGATTTACCCAGAAAATATCTACCTCTCTCAGCCCCTGGTGTGGGGAATATGAGCCCTTCCCTGGAAACACTGTTAGGGAAAAAAAAGGAAAAAAAGAGAGAGAGAGAGAGAATGAGAGAGAGAGAGCCCGTTGAAAAGGGCGTCCCTAAAACGTGGACAGAGGAAGCAGGGAGACTGGAGTCCAGACACTCAGATCCTGTTGTCACCCCACCAGGGCCCACCCAGCAACACCGAGACATTGAAAAGGGCCCTCCTGAGCATCTAAAAACAGTGCTGATCAATTCCGGCCACTGAGCCTCCCTCAGTTCCCAAATCACCAGCAGGGATTTTTTATACCCCCTCCACCCAGCCACCCTGGGTCCTATGCAGCCACCCTGGGTCCTATGCAGCCACCCTGGGTCCATGCATCTCCGGGACTCACAGATGAGATGGAACTGTCCCACGCATGTTCTCTGGGGCAGAAACTGCTGCGGAGCCTGCCAAGGCCACTCCTGGGGGGCCAGGGCAGAGCGTCTGACCCAGGAGGCTGTGGCCTTGCCACCCCAGGCCTGGTATGGCCTGTGGACAGTGGCCCGTCCCACCAGCCACCAGGAACCTCCCTTTAGTGCCCACCCCATCCACCTCACCAAGACTGATCTAGAAATTATTTATAGACCCAAACTCCACAGAAACCATTGTGCCTGCCGTTGCCATGGCAATGGGGATGTGGCAGGAGCACCAGGCTTTCAGGCTTTCCCAGGCCTTTGGTGGCCGGCAGGGGCGATCAGCGTCTACCAGGAGCCCCTACGTTGCCCACCTCCAGAGACCCCCGGAAGTGAAGAAGACAGGCTTCCCACCTGCTTCCAGCAGGGCTGGCTGCGTCCTGGAAGGCAGCACCGCTGGTGAGTGGTTTGGTTTTGTTTAAAACCTGTCCATGAAAGCATCTAGAACAATGTCCCCAAGACCGGTGGTGCACCTGTCTGTCACCCGTGAAACCCCTCGGGGACACAGCCTCCGACTCCCACTGCAGAGCAGCTGCATCAGGCTCCCGGACGGCGGGGTCTAGGAATCTGTGTTTTGGTTTTGGGATCTGTGCAAATCCACGTGACTCAATAATCCAAACATACAGAGAGCCTGGGAACTCTTACCCTGCTCTGGCGCCCTGCGTGTCCTCTCTCATCTGCTTCTTGTGTCTCCGGCTTCTTTAGGGAGTCAGCAAATACGACACGGTCCACGTTTGCCTTTCCCTGCTCAGAAAATAAAGATGCCATGGCCAGGCTTCTGTACCTTGCTTTTCTCACTCAATGCGATTTTCCAAAGCTGTCACAAAATCCGCTCCTTCTTTATTATTTTTTCTTCTACGGCAGCACAGCGTGGGTTCCCTCCTGTGGGTGGGTGTGCCAAGAAATCTGCTTGCGTAACCAGACCTTTTTCCTAGGAGTTGCCCAGATGCAGCCCCTAGGATGAGGATGTGTTTGCAGTGACTGTTCAGGGAGTGCTCGCTGGGGACACAGTTTGGGGGTGGGAAGCTGGACCGGAAAGGGAAGGGAGCTGGGCAGGGTGCTACGTGGGCACAGTCCTTCTGTAGCCTGAAGGAGCTGGGGGAGGGTGGGGCATGCCTGACCCTGCAGGGGAACTGTGGAGGGTCAGTCATGCCAAGGGATGCCCCAGACTGAGACCAGGGAGCTGGGGGCTTCGTTCACCCACCCAGAACCCACCTGTGTTTGGTTAAGGGCAGTCTAGGGAGATCTAAGTTACCAGGCATTTCCATGCATGTGTGCAAAGCAGCTTCTCAGAGCCCAGGGCCCATCCTCCAAACCAGGGGTCTCCAACCTTTGGGCCACAGCAGGAGGTGAGCAGCAGGTAAGTGAGGAAAGCTTCCTCTCTATTTATAGCCTTGCCTGTGGCTCGCGTTAACGCCTGAGCTCTGCCTCCTGGCAGATCAGTGGTGGCATTAGAGTCTCATAGTAGCATGGACCCTGTTGTGAACTGTGAATGCGAGGGATCTAGGTTGCATGCTCCTTCTGAGAATCTAATGCCTGATGATCTGCCACACGGCAGTGACCAGCAATGGACACACATCCCTTCCCTTATGAAGCATACACTCCAGATCAGTGTTGCCCAATAGAGCTTTCTGCACTGAGGGAATGTTCTAGATCTGCCTTGTCCAATAAGGCAACCACTAGTCCCATGTGGCTGTTGAGGCTTTGAAATATGGCTGGTACTGGTTCGTGGCCTGCTAGGAACCCGGCCATACAGCGGGAGGTGAGTGGCAGGTGAGCGAGTGAAGCTTTACCTGTTTATTTACAACCACTCCCCATGGTCTGTGCACTGCCTAAGCTCTGCCCCCTGTGAGACCAACTGCAGCATTAGCTTCTCATACGAACGCAAACCCTGATGTGAGTTGTGCATCTGAGGGGTCTAAGTTGTGCGCTCCTTGTGAGAATCGAATCCCCGGTGATCTGTCGCTGTCTCCGATCACCCCCGTATGGGATTGTCCAGTGGCAGGAAAGCCAGAGCAGGGCTCCCACTGATCCTACGCCATGGTGAGCTGTATAATTATTTCGTTATATATTACAATGTAATAATAGAAATCAAATGCACGGCGAGTCTAACACGTTGAGTCACCCTGCGACCACTCACCCTGCCTGGTCCCTGGAAAAGCTGTCTTCCATGAAACCAGTGTCTGGTGCCCAGAAGTTTGGGAACCACCGCTTTAAACCGCTGCTGGTGCTGGAGGTATAAACACTCAAAGCCTTGGAGTGCACAAAAATGGTAAAAAGGGATGCAGGGATCGGCAGGGGCCCTGAGGTTATCCAGTACACGTTTTCAATGGGCTCTGTTATAACTGGTTCAGACAGGGAGCCTCCCAGAGCTGGGAATTCACCTGCCCCGGCTTCAGGACAAGCCATGAACAAATTATCACCCATTTACTCAGCCCTTCTGTGAACCAGGCCCTGGCTAGACTAAGGAGTCCCGGGTGTGTCGATCCCAGTGCGTTCCCTCCAGGGGCACGGCACTGGATAGGAGAGGGCCGAGCGCTCCCGTAGCTTGAGGCAGCTGGTGGCCCTGTGTGCTCCTGGCCCTGACTCAGAAATAGCATGACCTCGCTGCACCTCCTGACCTGAGATGTGCTGAGAAGCTCTGCAGAGATCATTCTGCTCATCAACAAGTTTTGTCTCTGTTTGTGCATTCAGCACAAAATATGCGTGTTGGTGTGATAAACTTTGTAACACGTTTCCAACATTTGATCTACAAAGTTTAAAGTCTTTCCAAAAAGCAGAGCCCTTGAAGGTACTGGCACAGATTCCACAATCTGAGGCCTCCTCATGGCCTCTGGAGCCCCCTTCTCCTGCTTCCCACATAGGGCTGCCGTGGGGGGTCCTCACGGCCTCTGGAGCCCCCTTCTCCTGCTCCCACGTAGGGCTGCTGTGGGGGGTCCTCACGGCCTCTGGAGCCCCCTTCTCCTGCTTCCCACATAGGGCTGCCGTGGGGGGGAGGGTCCTCACGGCCTCAGGAGCCCCCTTCTCCTGCTCTCGCATAGGGCTGCCATGGGGGGTCCTCACGGCCTCTGGAGCTCCCTTCTCCTGCTTCCCACATAGGGCTGCCGTGGGGGGGGGGGGTCCTCACGGCCTCAGGAGCCCCCTTCTCCTGCTCTCGCATAGGGCTGCCGTGGGGGGGGGGGGTCCTCACGGCCTCAGGAGCCCCCTTCTCCTGCTCTTGCATAGGGCTGCCGTGGGGGGTCCTCACGGCCTCAGGAGCCCCCTTCTCCTGCTCTCGCATAGGGCTGCCGTGGGGGGGGGGTCCTCACGGCCTCAGGAGCCCCCTTCTCCTGCTCTCGCATAGGGCTGCCGTGGGGGATCCTCACGGCCTCTGGAGCCCCCTTCTCCTGCTCCCACATAGGGCTGCCGTGGGGGGTCCTCACGGCCTCAGGAGCCCCCTTCTCCTGCTTCCCACGTAGGGCTGCCGTGGGGGGTCCTCCTGCTCTCGCATAGGGCTGCCGTGGGGGGGGGGTCCTCACGGCCTCAGGATCCCCCTTCTCCTGCTCTCGCATAGGGCTGCCGTGGGGGGGGGTCCTCACGGCCTCAGGAGCCCCCTTCTCCTGCTCTCGCATAGGGCTGCCGTGGGGGGGGGGTCCTCACGGCCTCAGGAGCCCCCTTCTCCTGCTCTCGCATAGGGCTGCCGTGGGGGGGGGTCCTCACGGCCTCTGGAGCCCCCTTCTCCTGCTCTCGCATAGGGCTGCCGTGGGGGGGGGTCCTCACGGCCTCAGGAGCCCCCTTCTCCTGCTCTCGCATAGGGCTGCCGTGGGGGGGGGTCCTCACGGCCTCTGGAGCCCCCTTCTCCTGCTCTCGCATAGGGCTGCCGTGGGGGGGGGGGTCCTCACGGCCTCAGGAGCCCCCTTCTCCTGCTCTCGCATAGGGCTGCCGTGGGGGATCCTCACGGCCTCTGGAGCCCCCTTCTCCTGCTCTCGCATAGGGCTGCCGTGGGGGATCCTCACGGCCTCTGGAGCCCCCTTCTCCTGCTCCCACATAGGGCTGCCGTGGGGGGTCCTCACGGCCTCAGGAGCCCCCTTCTCCTGCTTCCCACGTAGGGCTGCCGTGGGGGGTCCTCACGGCCTCAGGAGCCCCCTTCTCCTGCTCTCGCATAGGGCTGCCGTGGGGGGGGTCCTCACGGCCTCTGGAGCCCCCTTCTCCTGCTCTCGCATAGGGCTGCCGTGGGGGGGGGGGTCCTCACGGCCTCAGGAGCCCCCTTCTCCTGCTCTCGCATAGGGCTGCCGTGGGGGATCCTCACGGCCTCTGGAGCCCCCTTCTCCTGCTCTCGCATAGGGCTGCCGTGGGGGATCCTCACGGCCTCTGGAGCCCCCTTCTCCTGCTCCCACATAGGGCTGCCGTGGGGGGTCCTCACGGCCTCAGGAGCCCCCTTCTCCTGCTTCCCACGTAGGGCTGCCGTGGGGGGTCCTCACGGCCTCAGGAGCCCCCTTCTCCTGCTCTCGCATAGGGCTGCCGTGGGGGGGGGGTCCTCACGGCCTCAGGATCCCCCTTCTCCTGCTCTCGCATAGGGCTGCCGTGGGGGGGGGTCCTCACGGCCTCAGGAGCCCCCTTCTCCTGCTCTCGCATAGGGCTGCCGTGGGGGGGGGGGTCCTCACGGCCTCAGGAGCCCCCTTCTCCTGCTCTCGCATAGGGCTGCCGTGGGGGGGGGTCCTCACGGCCTCTGGAGCCCCCTTCTCCTGCTCTCGCATAGGGCTGCCGTGGGGGGGGGTCCTCACGGCCTCAGGAGCCCCCTTCTCCTGCTCTCGCATAGGGCTGCCGTGGGGGGGGGTCCTCACGGCCTCTGGAGCCCCCTTCTCCTGCTCTCGCATAGGGCTGCCGTGGGGGGGGGGGTCCTCACGGCCTCAGGAGCCCCCTTCTCCTGCTCTCGCATAGGGCTGCCGTGGGGGGGGGGTCCTCACGGCCTCAGGAGCCCCCTTCTCCTGCTCTCGCATAGGGCTGCCGTGGGGGGGGGTCCTCACGGCCTCTGGAGCCCCCTTCTCCTGCTCCCACATAGGGCTGCCGTGGGGGTGTCCTCACGGCCTCTGGAGCCCCCTTCTCCTGCTTCCCACGTAGGGCTGCCGTGGGGGGTCCTCACGGCCTCTGGAGCCCCCTTCTCCTGCTCCCACATAGGGCTGCCGTGGGGGGTCCTCACGGCCTCTGGAGCCCCCTTCTCCTGCTCCCACATAGGGCTGCCGTGGGGGGTCCTCACGGCCTCTGGAGCCCCCTTCTCCTGCTCCCACATAGGGCTGCCGTGGGGGTGTCCTCACGGCCTCTGGAGCCCCCTTCTCCTGCTCCCACGTAGGGCTGCCGTGGGGGGTCCTCACGGCCTCTGGAGCCCCCTTCTCCTGCTCTCGCATAGGGCTGCCGTGGGGGGGGGTCCTCACGGCCTCAGGAGCCCCCTTCTCCTGCTCTCGCATAGGGCTGCCGTGGGGGGGGGTCCTCACGGCCTCAGGAGCCCCCTTCTCCTGCTCTCACATAGGGCTGCCATGGGGGGGGGGTCCTCACGGCCTCTGGAGCCCCCTTCTCCTGCTCCCACATAGGGCTGCCGTGGGGGTGTCCTCACGGCCTCTGGAGCCCCCTTCTCCTGCTTCCCACGTAGGGCTGCCGTGGGGGGTCCTCACGGCCTCTGGAGCCCCCTTCTCCTGCTCCCACATAGGGCTGCTGTGGGGGGTCCTCACGGCCTCAGGAGCCCCCTTCTCCTGCTCTCGCATAGGGCTGCCGTGGGGGGTCCTCACGGCCTCTGGAGCCCCTTCTCCTGCTTCCCACATAGGGCTGCTGTGGGGGGTCCTCACGGCCTCTGGAGACGCCTTCTCCTGCTCCCACATAGGGCTGCCGTGGGGGGTCCTCACGGCCTCTGGAGCCCCCTTCTCCTGCTCCCACATAGGGCTGCCGTGGGGGGTCCTCACGGCCTCTGGAGCCCCCTTCTCCTGCTTCCCACATAGGGCTGCCGTGGGGGGTCCATAAATCATCCTGAAAATGGAGCCTTGCACTCAGGCACCCCAAGTTCTGTGCGAGCCGCACGCTTCT